TCTTGTTCTTGTTCTTGTTCTTGTTCTTGTTCTTGTTCTTGTTCTTGTTCTTGTTCTTGTTCTTGTTCTTGTTCTTGCTCTTGCTCTTGCTCTTGCTCTCGTTCTTGTTCTTGTTATTGTTATTGTCATAATTGTCATTGTCATTGTCATTGTCATTGTTATTGTTATTGTTATCGTTATTGTCAAAACAATATTATGATTTAATATATCCTTTGGTATCTTCAGGCAACTGATTATGTCTTTTCATGATCATGTGCACTATTTAAATTCTGTGTGGTTATAGTAAGTTAATAATTTACCTATTTGCACTGGTTATTAATAAATATGTTATATTAAAACCATTTGTATGGTCCCAGACAATACTAATGTTATCAATAACAGTGTCCAAGAAGTATAAACAATTCAATTCGATCGATCAATTAAGCACTCTCAATCAGTCAGTTAAAATCAATTAATGAAATAAGCTTAATTTTGACACTGACAGGGTGTTCACCGTATGGCTGTTCAGAAAAATAGGAAAAAGAGAAACTCGTGATTGAAAAAATTGGCACTTTCTTTCAAAAAAATAGGAACATTAGTGCTACTTTGGTGGACAAAGCTAGTCTCCTACAGCTCATGAGCTATCTCAACCCACCACTTTAGTCCATCAACAGTCTAATTTGTGATTGGTCTGAGTGAACACTTCTTTTTGGTTTTACGACACTCAGTCGAAAACTGATCTATATATAGAATGAATGACCAATGCCCTGATTGGTGTCTTCACCTGTCCGTGATGTTGTGAAATATGGAGAAACAAATTGCTGATCATTAACAAATATTGCAACATTTTAAGGCAATTGCAGTAATTGCAGCAGTTTAAGACTCTAATAGAATTCTTTTACTTTTCAGAGCGCTATTGCATTCAGAACATTCCACCCGTCATCGTGTCCAGTAGCCATGAACTGTATATCCATTTCAGAGCGAGAAGCGATGCTAAAGAGACTTCACTGCTGAATAGAAAGTTTCAAGGATCTTACCTGACTCATTCCCATGGTGAGAAACAACTGACAAATGATCCAAAATTGTGTTGACAGTTGCCATTTAGACCTGGCACTCCACAATAATCACTCACTCGATCAAATTTATTGAACCAAGATAATCTCTTGATTGAACTCACTTCTTAACAATAGATTACAAAGATTTCAATACAGATAAGTAATTACATTAAAAATTAAGAATAAATATAATAATGTCCTAATACTGAATAAGCTAGGATCATCCAAATGGCAAAACTAATCTAATGGATGGTCCTAATAGAATATAGTTAAACTGAGTGAAAAGAAGTTGTTTAAGATAGAACGTAATTTCTCCATCAGCTTGGCTATAAACAGGAGAACAGTTGCGGAAAGATATTGCACCATATTTATGATAAAACTGAAGAGGAACACAAATCAAAACTAAAAGTTGAGAAGGCAGGGTGAGATTAGGACACTTTGATATTCACTTCCCTTCGCCTCTCTTTATTTCATTTCAATGTTGCTGGATTCTCAGACAATTGTTACAAAGAACTTCATTTCCGTCATTAATAACCCCCCAAAATAATCATGATTCTCTCTTATAGGATGTCATGAAAGTATTGGTTTACAGGATGGTAGAGTTAGAAATTCTCAGATATCGGCGTCATCTTACTTTACACTTCAACTCGGCCAGGGGCAACTTTACCTTAGTCCTCAGTATGGAAGAGTGGGCAGTGATTACTCATGGTGCAGTCAGGTGAAAACTAATTGCAAATCACTTTATCTTAATTTCCCATGGCAACGGGTAATTTGCGGCTTGCGAGTTGTAAGTACGAACACGGTTGCAACTTGCTGAAGTAGTTGGATTAAGTGTAAGTTCCCCCTTTCTTTGGCCCGAATTAAAGCTCGTAGCATTACAATTTTCTTTGTTTCTTGTCATGTGGTGGGATAATGTGTCCTTCTAGCTGAAAATCGGAAAGTTAACTCTGTAGCGGTTTAGAGAGCTCCAAATAGATCTTTTATGGTCTAGTTGACGCCAGGAATGGGATTCGGACTAAAACTTGGAAACCTAGATTTAGATAAAACTTTGGAACTAAGTTAGAGTACGTAATGAGAATTGTACCCCTCCCTGATGACACCAGGATCCTAATAAAACGATGCTTCCTTTACACAGGGACAAGTTTTAAACAAGGTTGTTGGAGAATATCTGCAAATCAACCTATTGAACTACACTGAAGTAACTGCCATAGCGACTCAGGTATCCCAAGAAAAATGTCAAAAAGACAACTGTTGCTATTTTTGCTGCAATCTTTATTAATAATTGTCAGCAATTTAGTTTATTTTCACATCTATAAAAGCTTGGGAAAGTTTTTATATTCTATTTGATCAAAATGTTACGAAAACCGGGGAAAATGCACAACGGGACATTTTGCTCATGCTTCTCAGCTGAGCTGATCCATATCATATCTTGAATGTACTCCGCTAGTTATCAAGTCGAGTAATTTTGGTTGTTTTCCATTAACCCCAAAGTCTAGATTTTCGGTTAAATGGTACATGGATCACGTTGTCCACTGAGAAGTGTCCGAGATGAATGAGATTTCTGAAAATACAATCATGTGTGCCCTATATAGAGGCTCCGAAAGAACTTGGTTTTCCGTGCTCCATTTCCGTTTTTCCTGTTTCGCGCCCGTTCAAAGCACGAGTCAACTTGTTGTTATTTGCTTAGCTTAGTAGCTTAGAAATGTCCGTCATATTTCCATGTTTTTTGTTCTCGACTCTTCAAGGCTAAAATTAATTACAACAAAAATTCATTAATGGTGTGGATTTCTCCACAGGCAAGGTGTTGTACTCGACACCAGTCCTAAAAGCCTATACCATACCTGGAAATTGACAAGGAGGCTACCAAAATACATTCGAATCATTAATGAATCAAAAAGCTGGAAATGCGATATGATTATGAAGTATGAAGCTTATTTCATTGCTTTAGTGACAATACTATCTCTGTCTCTATGTCTATCGCAGGGTTACCAGTTGCACGGTACAGATTACAGGGGACTAGTGTCAAGTTATAAAGTAGAGTACAGTTACGACGGAAACCACTGGATTGCCTACGTTGACAGCGCGAAAAACAGCGCCAGTCAGGGATACAGTGTAAGTGGTTTTCTTTCTGTAAACAATCTTTTTGTCAGGCCAGACTTCTATAACAGTTGATTCCCTCACTTAGGTCTTATTGACCGTTATTTTTATAGTTGAGAGTAAAAGTTAATGTCATCAGTCAGTTGTTAATTAATAAGCATTTTAGGATTTTCAATTTCGTTTCCAACAGGAATTCAACGGGAACACGGACTTTAACGGAGTAAAGAAAAATATCTTCAAACCATCCATTGTGGCTAAGATCATTCGAATATTTCCAATCGGTTACAAGAGCTACCCCGTCAAACACATGTGTCTTCGAGCGGAACTGTACGGCTGTCCTTATGACTTAGGTAATATCATGTTACATTATGAAAGTCTTCATTTTTACTCTGCTTGATTATTAGCGGAGCCCCTGCACGCCGAAGGCTTGCGAGCGAAGCAGCATGCCTTAGAGAATTTGGTAATCCGTCGGGCTAAAAAAAAACTGTGGTTGTCACGTAATGGCCGTGCATCCGTCGACCGTCTGTTCGTCTGTACGTACGCCAGTTGCACTGCGCTTGCGCTAGCTGAGCCCCATACCTTGGGAAATACAAGAGAGTAGCGCCATAATCATAGGTACATCTTTGATGTTGACAGCTGTCAAATCAATGTATCTGCCGACCAGTATCACGTGACCATACCACGGGCTCAGATTTAGAGCTCAGTTCGCGTGTTTTTTGAAATTGACCGCAGACCAGGTACTGGTTTTTCGAGTGGATCGCAGGCTTAAGTCAGGTTATTGCTCTGGGAATGAAGGAGGGGGTACGTACAAAGGCAAAAATTTGGTGCGAATTAACCCCTGGCGCGTTGTTGACTTTTCTTCCGAGATCTTCACAATCTTCTCTTGAAATGTCGCTGATAGCCTCCCTCAGTTATATATTGATTACGTAATCTTAGAAAAATTGGGTACGCTTCACTTGATAGTCTCCTTTTTGTTAAGTTTTTAACTGAAAAAATAATACTGAAACCACAGGCCAAACATATTGCAGGTTCACAACTGATCATTTTTGAGTTTTTGATCCAAGAAAAACAAATCCATTTTTCCTTTATAGTCAGCTTATTGCAATCAGGAGCTCCGCCTTTAGGCTTGGCTAAATCTATATATTACGTCAGTTGAAAGACGGTATAATTATCCTGTTTTCATTAGCCAGGAATCCCATAAAATCATGATTGTTTAATTACTGCTCCATCTCTCCCCATTTCATCCATCTTAAAACCAAAATGGTCTGCACTATAGATGTCGCATTGAGGTCATTTGTATTTTATCTATCTAGCAGTCAGGTTTGTTACTTTGATAGTCGTTTATTGACTTTCTAACTTGGTTTCCATGGTTTGTTACTTCAAGTATTGTAAGAGATTTCAAACTATATAAACTTATCGCTTATTTTATTTTAGTTTTTAATATATATAACTTTGCCTCTCACCTCGGGGATCGCAACTTTTGTCTTTCAATTCTCAACTGAATATCAATAATTAACGGTCGAAAAGTAGCTCAAAATATATAAATATATAAACCCGTAGATCACGAGCCAGAAAAGGTGATAAGATTACCAAGACAGAAATTAATACCAGAACTTAGGATTTTAACGTATAATGAATTGAATTGTGACTGCAGCCAGTGGGAAGCCCGTGATCAGGTAATTAGCCGGCTTACTGCAGTCTGATAGCATCGCTGCTTTATTTCTTTCAGGGTGTGGAAGTATCGTTTCTTTCAAAAAGCCGGGAAACATAGCTGTTCGTGGATCTAATCAACAATCCAAAAAATGTACTTGGTTATCAATCCCCAGAACTCCAAGCTCATCTAATGACGTCATCACCTTTCAGTTTTTCTACTTTCATGTACCATGTCACCATGGTCACGTGATGTTACACGCCAGAGGTGATGACAGGAAAATGAACACTTTCTGTGGTGCAGATCCTCCACCAGTGTCCAGTCTTCCTGCTTCTAGCCAAATAACACTGGAAATAAAGCTTGAGAAAGGATCACCTGTTTGGGGTTTTGACCTGCAGTATAAAACTGAGTATTTAGGTAATAAGATGAATTAGAAAATCAATCGTCGCCTGAATTTACAGCATGAAAGTAGTATTAACATCTATGTCCTTTAGTAAAATCAAGACACTGTCTTTACAAGAAGTAAAACTGTCTTAATTTGCAGGCTGTGGGAGAATTGTTCAGGTCTTGAGCAACGGAACAGTGACATCACCGAGCCACCCCTTGTTATATGACAACAATCAGGATTGCACTTGGATTCTCTCGTGTAATCCGGGATCTAGGATAAAGTTGAACTTTATTGAGTTTGACCTTCAGCCGCCAAATCATACACAGTGCCTTGATTTTGTCCAAGTCCAGGAAGGTCGACAAGGTAAAACAAGCCCAATCATGCTTTGCTTTGTTGTAAAACAACCAAAATATGACGTAAACATACACGAGAGAAATATTAACGAGATTTCGTTGTCTTCTTCTTGAGTGCTCTAGCCACTTGACACCATAACTTGAAACATACTTGACACCATAACAAGGAACAGTCAAGGGTTTTCTTGGGGTCTAACGTATCAAACTATGTCTTTTGAGAATTTAGAGTTACGGTTAGAAAGGTGCGATGACTTATGCATGAATCACTTATTGTTAGCAGTTACTATGTTGCCCGGGGATACTCCCTTGTATGGGTTATATAGGTATGTTCGATCCCAAAGGGTATGGTTTTTCAGCCGTTTTGGTCATAAATAGGGTATCGATTTTAACCATTTTGATCATTAATAGGGTCTGGTTTTTGCACTCTAGTCTTGAATTGGGCATTTTTCTTAGAAAAAGCTACCTTTTCATCATTATCGATAAGACCGATCAACAGAAGCCCTTCACGATGCCTTTGACATCGGTCTCAACTAGGGAACTAAGTAAAAGGTCTGGAACAGGGTCTTGATTTAGGTTCAGGTCATAAATAGGGTACTGAAAATCGCATATTTTTTGTCAGAAATAGGGTAAGAGTTTTGGGATGCGGGCCGCACACCCCCACCCAATTTTTCTCGGAGTACCCCCCGGGCTATATTGCTTCATTTTTTTAGCATATTATTTGAAAGCAGTTATTGTAGTATTATTATAAGCAAATCCGCAGATCCGTACCGCTTTTTGACCCAATCTGTCGATCCGTAAATACTTGTTTTTGTTCAGATTCGGATCTGCATTACTTGAAAGCTTTCTGTAGTGTTCATTGCAACGAACTGTAGACGTTTGTTTTCGCCCTCCCCCGAGTATTACTCCTTCATATAAGCTATACAGGTGTGTGCAGCACCAAAGGGGATAGTGCTTTAGCCGTTTTGGTCTCAAATAGGATGGACATTTTGGTCTGCAATAGGGTATGGTATGTCTACTCTGGCCTGGAACTAGGCATAATTGTTAGAACAGTCTATTTCTAGACGTTGTTGTCATTCATCTCTTGGGACGTGAAGTTTAATTAACCTTGGGAATTTGAAGCTGTTAACAAATATGTCAGGAAAGCAGTTCCCCTGTGGGGTCTGCTCAGAAACAGCTGGGTATCGATTTTAAAAAGAGCGAGTCTGAAATAGAGAAGGGGAAATCGCCTATTTTGTGGGTTTTGATATCAAGCCCCCCCTAAATAGGCGATTTCATGAACCTTCCTAAAATAGCTTGGTACTAATGTTACAGCTTTATCTAAAGCACCAATGTAATGCAATACACCCTAATTACGTTATCCTGCACGTGTTAATGACCGGTATCTCGGCTTCAGGCCTTTTTGAGATGTTTTTGGGATGTCTTGGGATGATCCGTGTACAGCCGGTCTAGTGCAGGTTCGGGAGTCACCAGCGAATTTCGGAAATCATGGGACATATTAAAACATAGAGTAATCTAACACATGTGCTTCTTGGTGTTGTGTGAGAAAGAAAGAGAAGTGTAACAGTTCATCGGCAGACTAGTAAATGGAGAAAGAAAACGATGAGTACCTAGTACACAATTATAATAACCGTGTCAAAGGATAGTTCTTGCATAGGAGTTGAAGGCGAACAAAGTTCAGTGACAATTGGAAACAGTGAGGTGAATAAGTCTGTGGATCGACGTGGATTTGGTGTAAAAAAGAGCATGGATTACAGACTTTGCAATATATATTGACTGGATTCGTGGATTTCGAAAATACCACGAATCATAGATCGACTGTGAATTTCGGTCAGGATTCCGAAGGTCTCCGAACTCTGCATGTCTTGACTTTCGGATCATGAATCCTAAGCAAAGTCTGATCTTTGGTCGCCGTTAGTCGCTTGTTTGCGTTTTGTTGAGTTTTTCATTTTTTTATTTTTTATTTTTACCTGCGGAGTGAATTGCACTGTCGGGTTTTATACTGCAATTTTCTATGATGTAATGGTTGATTTAGACCGTTTTCCCTGCTGATGTGCTGATCAACGGGTACATCCTTATCTTTGTGCTCATATTATAAATACGTTGAACTTATCAGTATGAGTCTCAATTACAACACTATTTGCTGCTTTAATTCTTGTTTTCAGACACCTCAGCTGTTTTGGGTAAATTCTGTGGAATCTCTGCTCCAGTTCCAGTTATATCTACCTCCAATCACTTGCGCGTTGCATTTCATAGTGATGACACGACGAAAGGAAAAGGTTTTCTTCTCGAGTACAGTCTTGTTTCACCAAAAGAGCCTGAATCACCATCCACTCGAGATTTTTCCGGTGAGTAACGTTTCTTTCGCTAAAACAACCCAGAGCAAAATCCTTCAGCTTTCATCCTTAGCTTACCACCCCACTGTTGCTAAAAAGGGTCTCTTAACATCCAATACCTACCGAAAGGTTTTCTTATTGTGAAAATGATAAATCCCGGCCCTTAGGCTGGCATTTGATTTGTATGGGCAATATTCGCACCACGTGTTTATTACGTCAAGACGTAAGTAGTCTTTTACAATAGTACAAGTGTTATAAGCTACAATCCTGGACAGAACTAGTTGAGACAAATTGAAATAAATACCTTAATTTTCCTGTTCTCTGTACTTATTCGAAAACGTCGTTAAGGAAATGTCGGGTATCAGTTGTGTCAGGCTCAACAGTTGTGTCTAGAGTTGAAGGTAGATAGCTGAGTAGGTAAATAGGTAATTTGTAAGGCATTCGTTACCTGTTACCAGAAGAGGTAGAAGTAGCTTAGGTAGGTTGTAAGGCAGATAGGTACGTACATGGAGAGCTAGACAGTAAGGCAAGTTGGTAGGTGAGGGTAAGCAGAGCAGCAGGCAGATAGATAAGTAGGCTAACAGAAAGATGCCTAGATAGGAAGGCAGGCAGCTAGGTAGGGACAGGTGAGAAGACACGAAGGCAGGTAGGCACACAGGCATGCAGGTAGTTAGGCAGGCATATTCGTAGACCTGTAGTTTGGTAGGGCGTAGGTAGGTGGGTAGGTGGGACTGGCGGGCAGGTAATTTGTTACACAGACGAGCGGGCGAGCACGCAGGTAGGTAGGTAGGTAAGGGGGTAAGTAGTAAGGCAGGTGGGCAAGCAGGAGGGTGGGGAGTTAAGCAAGTAGATATGTAGACCGGCGATGCAGGCTGAGGCGTCCCTTTAAGCGGAACACTGCGAGAAGCTAAATCAGCAATGAACCGGAGGCCTTTCAGGCTTATTGGAACAGGCTCGCTGAAATGTTTTTTCTTCTTTTGAAATCCTAGGGCGAACAGAGAACACAGAAACTAACGGTGCAACAACAGAAAATCATCACAGCAGTGGCAGTTCAATAGATGGCACGGCTTGTCTTGTTCACATTACTATGCTTACTTTACACTGGTTATTTATTAATCGCAACTGATGGATATACTGCAGTGAACCCGAAAAGACGGAAGATGTGACCTGCAGGAACTGCAGTGGCAGATCGGTACACAGTTCAGATGGTACTGGCCTTAGTATTGCCTTCCGTTCCAGCATTGGTCATACTTCGCACATCATACTCGTTTATCATTTATCACATGAATTTGACTGAAGAGTGAACATGATTCTACATTCAGTAAATTTCCAATCCGTTTTAATTTGTTGCTTTTGAGAAGCAAGATTATCCCCTAATTTGTATTAGGAACCAAATCTTTCCACCTTCAAATGAGGTGAATGGCGTTAAGACCCTAAATTTAGATCTCATAGCCTACTATATACTACCTACTCCTAGCTGAACGAAAAAAGTAAAATCGATGTTGCTGTTAAGAATTGGTTGAAAGGACAATGGAAACAATATTCCGGCTCTTTCTTCGATTCCTTTCTACTCTCTTTGTTCTGCTATCTATTTATCCAACGAATTACTGAAAAGAACTGTATTATATTGTTATCAAACTAGAAAGTTACTTGTATAGTATTTCGACTATTTCCTACCTGAGCACAAAATGGCGCATTACTGCATATTTCGTCTTCTTAACAAAAATGTCTCACTACGCCAGAGGAAGTAAAAAGCATTTTCGTTGGGGTATAACGCTCAAAACCTTGGAGTGATTACATGCAGTTTCTCTCAAAATCGGGAAAAGAGCATGACATCCAATGAAAATCGTAGCAATGACTCGGCAATCGCAAAATGTACGAATTCTTCAGTCTCGCATCCCCTGGCACCTTGATGTACTTCCCATGTGGGAAATAATTCAGACGCGGAGTCAACAGAGTCGAGCAATGAATACTGAGCGTGAGAGCGCAGACGTACTTCCCGTTAGAAATATACGTCTACGTAAACCGAAAATGCCTAGAAACGCCCCTGACTTTGAACTCCGGCTCACTTCGAGCACTTTTTCTCCCGCGTTCTCAAGTTTGCATTGAAAAATACCAAGGCTGCGAATAGTGTAGGCGATATGCTATCTTGCATAGAGTGTTTTCCTTACCATTCACATTTCAGAGTACCCTTTAAAATGTCTACAGGAACGCTGGGCTATAATGCCCTCCGGATTTAGATTTGATCTAATATATCCACTCGGAGCGTGGATTCTTCAGATCGTTAATTCATTTTTGGATTTTAGCAGTGCAGTGGCCCATGTGTTCCGTTATCTCTTTAAAGTTGAAAAATGTCCTAGCTTCTTCGAGTTTTATATGTAAAGCTTTGATTCTCTGAATTTTTATCATCCATTTCTCTAAAACGTATCAGGGATGTTAGGAGTGAGGGAATTTTATCATGATCGAGGCTTTACTGATGGGCTCTTTTTGTGGTGGTTTAACATTCCGATTATTGGACACCTTTTGCTTATCACTCTGCTGTTGCAGTTTCTGTTGGGGGTTTGTCAACAGCTTGGGGTTTCAAAAGAAACTCTTCAGTAGGAAATATGGACTTGTGGCTCATTAGCAGGCGACTCTTTTAGTCCAGAGATATAAGCTGACATAAATAAATTTCGTGGCAGTAATAACAGAGCGACCTGTTTTGACAGTAATTAACTGATAACCTCATGAACCTTGCCCCTTGAAAATATTAAAGTTCATGTACTCACTTTCTGATGTTGTGAAGGCCCGGTGGGCTGTTCGTCTCCTGATCGAGTGGTCCGTGTTCAAGCCCTGGACGGGAACATTGTGTTGTATTCTTGCACTTTCCTCTCACAGTGCCTATCGCCACCCAGATGTATAAATGTGTATCGGCAAATTTAATGCTGGGGGTAACCCTACGATGGACTAGTATTCCATCCAGGGGGAGTAGAAATATTTCTAGTCGCTTCATGCTACAGAAACTAGAGATAAGTGGCAGCCTGATGAGCCACTTGGCTTGTATGCAGACCTAACCTTACTTTTTCTTTCTGATGTTGACGATAAAACATTTGGTCTACTACTATGGAACCATAGGAAAGATTAAATCATATTGTCGTTGTAAAAGAGGATAATATTCACTTGTTCTCTTAAAGTGAGCCAATTAAAAGTGGGATTGCTGCATCAAAAGGCCCGAAGGGGGTGGGGGCACACAGTGTAATTTGACTGTGAGGTCTGTCTCCTGGGTATGGATGGTAAGGAATTTGACACGGTTACCATCTTTGAAGGACCAAGAGAGTCTGCCATGTTGTATGTGCGTATTGAAGGGAAAGAGTTTTCGCTACGTATATTTTTTGTGTCAATAATGCTCTGCATGTTTACATATCTATTAGGTTTCTATGCCCCAGGGTGGATAATTTAGATACTTTTTACTAGTCATGTTGTCCCGGGGGTGGGTATTTTGACATTATTTTCAGAAAATGTCAAAATTCCCCCTTATCTCCCCTCCCCCCTTGGGCTTAACATTGATAGGTGCATTATTGCATGTATGTTGATGTCATCTGGGTGAGGGGATGACTTCTTTGTAATACCCCATTCTCATTAGTTACTCATACCGTACACACCCCACGACTTAACAAGGTAAAAACCTATTTGAATCAAATATGTCAGCAAGGTGGTTTAAAATTTGTCTCCTGAAAATGACTGCAAAGCGACAAATTCGAAAAACTTAAACGAGTATAGTTGGTGTGAATGGGGTAAAAGATTCGGGAAAATGTAACAAAAAAACACATTAAAATACGAAATCCTTAATTCCGGAGAGTCGCCACTTTGCTCACAAATTCGAAACTTCATCGTTCTTCGTTACTTTCCGAACGTTAATAGGGACCGGCAAGAGAAAATGAAGAATGGTATCATGCTTACGTAAAAGGAAAAGCACTCCCGCTGTTTTCGGCAACCCTAAAATAACTTTAGCGGAATTGACATATCCCAAAGCCTGGACTGGGAGCCTCCCTCTCTGTCCCCTCATTTTCTCTTGGAACCGGTCATTATTTATCGCCTGGGGCGGGGAGGTCGGAGGATTTTTGGGTAGGATGATTTGATTTTTAGGATAACCGAGGGGGGATCAGTCATAACTGAGAACCCAGAAGGGGGAATCACCGCAAATTATCGACAGAAACGTCCAAGCAACGGAAATGCCGAGTTGTCCAGAAGTGAGGAGAGTGAAGAATGATGATGAGGGCGGCCAAGATGCTGTCATTGCTGATCTCGATGACCACTCGAATGTCCGCATGCCAGTCTTTTGTATTAAATGAGTAAATAGAAGACGTGACGGTACAACCAGCAACTGTATAAAAAGAAGAAAATACGAACCACAAAAAAGTAATAAAACATAACAAGTGAGTAAAACTATTAAACTACAAATCAAAATGGGAAAGAGAACAGGAACAGTGGCAAATCATACTATAAGGTACAAATTACCCCTAAATGTCACATTCCCATACGGATTGAGTGGGCGGCTATTTGGCACTCTGAAAAGTAACTTTGCTGTTTCCAAGGACTTGGGATGGTTAGATTGCTGGTATGTCAACTGACATCATATATCGGTATCCATGCACAATGTCGGCTTCATGAAAGTACATCATATTTAGAAACATGAATGTTACAAGCACTAATGTTACGGTCTTTAGCTGAAAATCCTCCGACCTTCCCCCGCCTCCCCCTCCCAGGGTGTAGCTGATGAGGAAAGCTTGTTACTGTTAAACAAAGTACTTACCCAAAGGTTTTTGTATTCAAAATGGACGACAGATCGCTCTGGGAGTTGATTCTTCACTATGGCCTTTTTCTTGGAGGTATTTTCCAGCTGATATGCATTTTAGCGATTGTTATAGTTCCTTCAGATAACTCGGTGGATGATGAAGGCATTTTACTGAACAAAGAAGACAAGCTTCGAAAATTTCAAGGACAACAAACGTTGCAGTCGCAAACAAGATTAAGAGAACGAAGAAAGAAGAAGTGACACTGCCGTTATTTTTGCTGGGTTTGGCTGAAGTTCTCCAGGTTCTCCAGCTTATAATCGCCTGGCTTGAAAAAAAAAAAAAAGAAAGGAATCAAGTTTTCATAGTCTTCTCATGTTTTCCGCTGGTGGTACTTTGGACGCTGAAGTATGAGCTTGAAAGTAAGCTAGAAGTATGTACGGAAACTACAGTCCATCAATAGTTGTGTACATCATTGTACCGTCGATGGCGTACTTGAAGTGAACTCTTATTTACACTTATACACTTTTCGTCGTTTTATGTAGACTTTGCAGATAATTTACCAGCATTATCAGGGAAATTTGTTTATTTAATAGAGGTTGTTAGAGTCTCGGATAGATCAATGTATTGAAACCGGCAAATCCCCCAGTCTTGTATCGTGTCGCTAAGTCAAAATGTTGGCAGTCTGCTGACTTGTTTATATCTTTTCGTGTAGGTTTTAAAATTATTTTTGTTGCCAAGTTTTGTTCAGAGAGTTAGAGTTTTTTGTTGCTGGTTTGAAAAAGTTTCTGTTGCTTGTCTGGACTTTGCAACTGAATTGCAGATTTCCTTTTTGTTTTGCATATGCTGGTTTCAAAATTATTTTTGTTGTGCTAATGAAGAAGTCAAATGTAAACAGAAGTCCTTCAATTTCTTTATTCTATTGGCTAAATTAATCACACTGGTGTCACATGATTGGTTAAAGTGTCAGATTCTTTTGTTTCAAACTCATGCCATTCAATGCTATGATAAGTTGAAAACTTTCAGAGGTCATTGTAATGTAATTACTCTTGCCCTTTCCCTGGGTCTCCAAGGAAGAGGAAGGAAGTAGACTGGAGAGATGGAATCAGTGCTTGACATTATGCAGTCCACAATGAGAAGGAAATGTTGCTGAATGACGTCATAGGCACTGAGTCACAATGAGTCGCTGACAGGTGCACATTCTATTTGCCGTAGATACAGTAGCTTCAGTAGTCATAAGGTGTATGACTATGGAGACATTTTGAACAGAAGGGCTGTGAATTCTTGATAATTTTCAACTTATTCTTAGGGCCATCCAATTTTAGACTGGGGAATGAATTGTGTAATAAGGCTCTTTTATTTGTGACTTAAATTAATTTATGAGGTTACAAGAATTTTTGAGTAATACACCAGCCTATTGCCACTGAATGTTTTGTTTTATCTTGTCTGTTCACATTAATGAACACCAACTATGACATTGTGTTTAACAGTTTCAGTGTGATCACTATTACTAAACTATTATTTCCTTTAAGTTTGAAATGTGATTGTTGTTAGTGAAATGTAATGTACCTTACTCAGGCCACAGGGAGCATACAATCTTGTTGAGGATAAGAGCAAATCAAGGAATGAAAATAATGAATAGTTTAACTTTGTCTCTTGTTGTTATCTCTTATGAGAACTTAGAGGGAAATGGCTAGATATAAACTAGAAAATTTTTTTGCAGTGCGAAAAGGTTTTGGTACGAGTTTAGCACTACAGTGTTTTGCAGGGCATGTGGATAGCAGTTTTCCTAGAAGTTCATGTAAGAGATGACAACAGGAGACAGAGGTAAACTATTCACTTTTTTTTCATTCCTTTATTTCCTCTCATCCTACTCAACAAGATTGTGTGCTCCCTGTACCCAGGCCCTTTGCAGATGGAACACTTGGCTAGTTATCAATTTGGAAGGGTAAATGACCCTTTCCCTCTATGAGGTATGGCTGCAGGAAATTATGGTAGTTGTATTTATCAAGTCTAGTCCAAGATGGTAGACAGTGGTAACAAAGGCTTGCCTTCTGAAAACTCCTCATTTGGGGACTCACACTCAAATAATTTACATCTACAGCAACAACTCAAATGCACAGTCAGCAAATATAGTTGCTACATTGTTCTCGTAGCTTTCTTTCCACTTTCAAAGTGTGCCAAACATACTCAGTGGCTCATTAGAGTAAAGCAGGGTAAAACTTTCTCTCGCGATGTGATCTATCCACTTCCCTCTCGATGCAGGCTCTTTCAGGAAAATATAATTAACCTCGGCATTTCTCCTTGAATTATTTGCATTATTTGAATTATTTGCATTTGGGGACTCAACATGTATTGTCACCACTTTGTCCTTTCGAAGGCAACTTTTCATCCCCTCTCAAGTGGTCCGCCATCTTGGATCTGGCAACCTGCATTGGACTTGAACTACCATAACTCCCTGCAGATGTGAGTCTCATAGAGGGAAAGGGCCATTAAACCTTGAAAAGAGCTGCATCACAATTTGCACATCTTGAAAAATTTAGCCTTAATTTTTCAAGTTTGTCGTTTGTAATCCAGGTCAATCTTCTCCATCCTTAACCATCCTTGTTCCTTGATTGTTTATTGTTATGTCTTAAGTGTTTTTCTATCTTAACACACTATTAGGTTTTTTGCATGTGGTAATAATAACTCAAAAATGAGTGCGCTCCTCTAAGGATAGCTCATGTGACCATATGGTCTGCAAATGCACTATGCAGCCAGGCATGCTCAGTTGATTGAAAATAGGCCAATTTCAATATATTAAAATTATAACTTGGCCCTGAGGCTTAGGGAATTAAAACAAAATAAATCACATCAGGTTAAAGGATGAATATTTAATGTCTTTTATTTCATTCCCCTAAGCCGTGGAGTTCGAATCTCAATATATCCAAATTGGCCTATTAATTGATATTACTCAATATATATGGGTTATTTACCAAGTGTGAGGTCAAGATGGCTGGATATTGGCCAAGTTCTTTTTTTGTGTGTTTATGGACTGAGATGGAGTCGAGGTCCATAAACTCGCAAAAAAAGARCGAGGCCAATATCAAGCCATCTTGACCGAACAAGCTTTGTCAATAAAGGATTTATTATACGGCTTTTGCGGAAATATTTCTTGCAGGACACGGCGGGTAGTCCTGAGCGGGCAAGATAGCTCCATCTTGCCCGCTCGGGTAGCCAATCACAGTGCAGGATTTGATTCATCTTGCCCGCTCACAGAGCTAACCATGTAATAATGATTTATATCAAAATCAATGAAAATCAAAGATTGAGAGTTATGGGTGTTGATTTTCATTGATGTTACAGTGTAAGACAAATAAGTTTGAACAGTAAGTGTTAAAAATTCTTTACTAAAACTCCCATAACACTGCGGTAATATTTTGAATACTATTTGAAATATCTCACTTTTATTCATTTCCCTAAGTGGCCCTAATATTAAATTCTCAAGCATTCTCAAGAAAGTTAACGTCAAACCTCATAGAAATGCTTACGGTTTGAAATTTCGTTTTGAACTGACGTGAAACATCCATTTTAATTGAAATTTATCAATTGTACCGTGTGAGAAACAAAGAAGCTTCTGATTAAAGGGAACGTTAGGTTTGAGTGCGAGACAGAACCATGTGAATCAGGAGCGTAAGGTTATTTCAGGTTTAGCAATCAAGACATAGTAAGTGCTCCTTGTTACTTTTACGCTGTATGGTTTAGTCTTTATGTCGATAATAATTTCGTGTTTTAAGTTCCCTTAACTAAAATCTATTGAGGTTTGTAGGTGCTAGAAATCAACCGCTGGATACTAGGATTACCAGAAGCTAAACTAGCCAATGAAATCTTATGTCCCCAGAGTCACTTTTCCCTAGTGCCAAGGCCACGTCCGCTAAGAGAGTCCGTGACTTAGAGAGTCTCGCTGAGCGGCTGTGGAGTGGACTGTTAAAGTGTCCACTGTCACAGTAGCTCTGGATAACGAGGTGACAATATTGACTAACAAAAAGCTCACTGAGACTATAGAGGGTAAGCGTGTTACACAAAAGCCTTCTTTTCGTTATTGTGAGCCTGTTGCGTACCGGAGCACGTGCACTTAAAAAACATTATGAGATTTCCTTTCAGCTAAGCTCGATAGCGAAGTAAATATTCTTTTTCTGCCAAAAAAGTAACCCCCACTTTTTAATGAATTTACATGACAAGCGATAAGCAACGATATCTTGTTATCTAAAGTAAAGTTTCAAATTTCTGTTGTTGTTGTTGTTTTCTTTTAATGCTGCATAAAGCTAGCCTACTCGCAGGCGGTGATGTCAAGTGCTATTTCCGCGTGAAAGGACTTTCAGTGACTCGGCCACTCGGCCAGGACTTGTACTTGAGTTGACTCGGTGATAAACTCATGTACCATCTAAAATAGCTGACAGTTTGGATATCTCTTCAGCTTAGCTGTTCAGATTTGGGGTTTTCAGAAATCACAACTTGTCCAGACCCGTTAAAACCGTCGAATAAATTATATTGCTGTAAAGATAATTACTAATTTGATAACTACAGAACGTGAATCGTACAAAATTTTCACATTATTTTTCATTCTTGATCGCTGTCAGTATTAAAGTAGTGGAAATATTGGGAAGAATTCTCCCGGATAGTTGTAAGGGAGAGACTAATAAAGAAGAACTGTTGGATGAGAATATTACTGAAAGCTACAGAAATAATGCGACGGAAATCAGTCAGAAATGTTATTAAATCACGGTATGAGTGTTTGTCACTAATGAATCAATGCACAAAGTTGATCTGCCATTGCTTTCTAATACACCGAAAAATCGAAAATTTTGAAATCAAGCCTAACTTTTTTTGGTTAGAGAACCGAAAATGTAAAAGGCTATCAAAATACGCCTTTAAGCATAAGTTAATTTATTAGATTTTCGATTGAAAAGATAATGAAAACTGAAAGTACTCTAAAACAATAGCCCAAGTTGACGACTAACGCTTCGTTAGAGATCACAATTAACGAGGGTAGTCGTGCTGTAATTCTCAGCCGTTAATTAATCGGATTAAGAGTATTTTTGTTCAGAATTCTATGTCGATTGTGTCCTGGACAACTTCTCTCTATCTATTTTTTTCTCCCTCTCTCTCCCTCTCTCTCTCTCTCTCTCTCTCTCTCTAGAGTATTATTTTCGAATCGCAACCACACTTTATCTATAAAGATATTGAAAATCAGCTGTCTTCACTAATGAACATGGTCTCTTCAAACACTAAGTACATCGTTAAGGTGAAAAAATTCAATGTGATCAGCACTTTATTGAAAAGTACGAGTGAAAGCAACGACAAAGCCAATATAAAAGCCGGGGGGATGATGCTAAAGTATGCTTTCAAAGTGATAGGAGGTGTTCTTGAAGCCATATTTTAATACCCCAAAATTTCCCGGGCCAAAATTAGGCCTAAGAAACCTCATTAACTAAAACTAAACGAACAGAAAAATCCTACGTCTTTTTCATGCCCGAAAAATACAGAGAAACTGAAAAGGAAATATAAATATGTGTACACAAGTCCCTGATCATGCAATCCCATTGGCAAAAATATCTTGTCCAAGCCAATACAGAGATTAAACCCGAACTTAAAATACCTTGCAAGATCTCATTAACTAAAGAATACCGGGTGAACTTTTAAATCCCCTAGAGTCCAAAATTGTAAAGAACACCTAGAAACCTTTCCTTCACTTTCAATCCCGAATACTCCCCCTCCCCCCCTGCCCATATCCTGCTTGCCCAATTATGGCGAAAATTTCACTACAGATTTCAATTAAGCAAACGTGACCAGTAAAACCCAAAAGATTATACGCTTTTAGTAGCTGCAAAAAAAGTTGCAAAAGTTACTTATTGCAGTAGATTGAAAGAAGTAAATGTAATCCTATGAAAGGAACAACTTCTCGGTTAACATGAATACGACATATACTGTTAATCACTATATACGAAACTCAATTCGGAGTATAATTTTCTTTTCATTTTAGTATCCATATTTATTCAGTCGCCTTTGGTTACGCGGTTCATTTTTCCGGCTCACCGCTATTCATGGTAACCTCGTTACGTTCGCCGCAGCAATGAACGTGGTGGACACAATAGACTACGTCCAAACCAACTTTACATTTAATTACATTCTCGTTTGTAAACGAACCATTTCAATCATTTTTCTTCAGTGGAAAATTTGATTCAGTAATTAACTTCTGTCCAACGAACCAGTGCTCAGCTGGAAAATAAATACTTGCAATCAACACAAATGTGATGTAAACTCCTATTATGAACGAAGGTATACCAACTCGAAGAAAAACTAATATTAAAATATAGTCGCTGTTCAAACACACACGTTAAACGTGTTCTATTTTCCCACAAGTAATTTTGTTGTGTTTATTTTTCGCGGTTCTGCAGACATGCAAGATTATGCAATTATAATTAAGTTCTAGGAAAGATGATTAGTTTTTGTCTTGATTCTTCTTCAAGTGAGGAGCTATCTCTTATCTTCTTGTTATCTTCCTGCATCACTGCATTGTTCTACAAATACGACACTATCACAAATGTTAAAGAAGATTATTTCCACAAATTGCTTCGAAATTCCACAGCCGCGTATACAAGTAATTTTTCATCAAACAGGGCATTTTTAACGAATAAATGCAAATGGCATATGTAATACACTGATCATCTTCTGATTGCAGTGGCTATATTGATTCACTATTCGCTATGTTACAAGTGTTATTTTCATCCACCGACTATCTCAAGGCTTGATTTTTTGCATAGAATTTTCAGTGAGGTTTGACTAACTGGCTATGAGTTTAATAAAGAATTTACAAAGATCGGTTACTATTCCTTTGTGTCAAACTATCGATTCCATTGTGAAGTGATCAGCTCGTTCGTATTTCGCCTTAAAACATGGAATCATCAAGTACAACTCACGACGGAAATCTTGTTTCAAGAACGTGTAAAGCATGGGATTGATCAAGGAAGTGGAAAATCGCAAAAAGTCAAAAACTAATAACCAAACTGAAGGAATAGCGTAGAAAACGTCCTTACTAAGATAGTCCTGTAGGAGGCCTATGTACCAAGTAGACCAGCAACATGTGAATATGCCGAGCATGAGAGCGAAGATAGTTATGGCTCGTTTTTCAGCAACTAAATGCTTGCGGCTGCCGTGAGACTCTTGAATATTGTTCAGTTTCCTGATTTGTTTAGCTTGATGATGAATGACTTTGAACATTCGAAAGTAAAAGAAGAGCATGAGAACTAATGGCACCAACAAACACACTACAATGCCAACAATGTTGTAGATTAGACCCCAGCGCAGCTTGGTTGGGTTTCGGGAGGTGAAATGATCAAACTCCTGCCAGGCCAGTTGAATCAGCGCCATGAACAGCGACAAGGACCACACGGAACTTACCAGAATCACCATTCTCCTCTTGGTTACAATGAGCATATATCTGAAGGGATAGATGACAGACACGTACCTCTCGCCTGTGATTATCAGGATATGAAAAATAGTGGACACGGCAATAAACCTATACACTGCAGCTGAGGTGATACACAGTCCAGAGAAGTTCTTGTAACCGACTAATGCATTGCAAGCAGTGTTCATGGGGATACCAAGAAGGCCCATCATTAGGTCAGAGACGCTCAAACTTACGAGAAGCAGGTTGGTTTTTGTCTGTAGTGGCCGTCTTTTTACGAACAGCACAAGTACCAATACGTTGATCGCTATAATCAAAACGCTGAGAATGATTAAGCAAGAATCGTAACTAGCGTCAAAGTAACCATTGTGTGGTAAGGAATCTTTGCTGTTTTCCTCTGGTGTGGAGTTGTTCGACTTCATGACCACTCAACGCTCTTGCCCGCCGCAAATGGCGTTAAAATTCCATCGAAAATACAGTTCGTTCTAACGAGCGTTTTTCTCGCTGTTATTAATTTGATTGACCAATGATGTAGCAGTACGGCTATGTAACCCTTACGTAAACAATCGTTTTTATAGTCGAGGTCATAATAAAGACTAATATTCTCTCGAGTATTGCAAAGTGCTAACTCAAATAGTGCTTGATTAACGATGCAGCTATCAATGATTAATGTCTACTTAATTCAGTTTTCAGTGCCCAGCCAGGTTTTCAGGATTTCACCTTTTAAAAAGTTAATGGGTTAAACGGAAATATGTCTCTTTCAGTGTCAAAAATTTATATTGTGTGTGATTGCGCTTTTCTAGATTGAGTGATGGACTTAGAATCTGCCTGTTCAAGTCTGTTTAATTATCTTACGAAACAATAGCGGTGTTCACAACATTTCACAGCCTTACATTTCCATTATCTTATCGCTCTTGAAAGCCACTTCATTTCGCCGAACACTTTTTGACAAGATTTTACTGCAGAAGCATATAAGTTTCCATTTATGATTACACAGTTCAAACTCTCTCAGTTTTTGAAACAGTACAAGATTCTCGATACAGTGGTTTAGCTCTATTGTTGGTCAACTTCAATCATATCCAAAGCAATATTTCTGAAATTCGAGGTCAAATATGACATAAATCAAACTGTAGGAAAATTAAATAAGTGTAATGAAAGAAGCCAATTTTAAATTACTAAATTTCAAATGTTACAATTTATGATCACTTACTGAACGGAGATTTAGTTGAATCGTAAATAATTTTCGAATGCAAATATTTTTCTGATAATCATTTTCCAACATGGTGCAAATTAGAGACGTCTTTCTTTGATAATACCTCCTGTCTGGTACTTCTACTACAGAGTGTATTGTCAGGCTGCTCCGTCTTAAACAAAAGGGTGTCTTTTTAAATATTGTTATGTGACAAGACAATGGATACAGTTGCTCGAGTAAGCTTAGATTCCCCCCCCCAAAAAAAAAAACGTCAGCCAAATACGGTGCAGGGACTGGAGCAAATCAACTCGTTCCGCACATTTGATCGAGCCCAGGCTTCTGACATGAATGAGATTGCCTCTCGGGTGCCTCTGATTCGAGCCTATAGCCCAGGTCCTTCACGTCAGAATTCGTTCATTTCCGTTGCAGAAATCACGCTCTGAATTTTATTCAAATTAGTCCAGTTTAGCATGCAAAACAGTCGGTTTCTCAGGAGGTGACACGTGATGCACGAACCGCGAGCGGGCAGCAATTGACGGAATTTACACCGTGTTTTCGATGTGTTCATTACAGGTTCTGACTCCATGCATGCTAATAGACCCATTTCCGAGGTGCCTCTTGGCTTTTCTAATCAAGTCCCCGTAAGAAATACGTCTCAGACGATTCTTACATTTTAAACTAAGGCCCAGTGCAAACGTCGAACTTTATATGTGCGGAACCTAATGTCACTATTAGGTACATATTACGTTCGACGTCTGCATCGGATGCGGTCGACACATTTGTATTTGAGTCAAGCTTGCCGTTCTTTTTGACAGTGGCAGTCGAATTAGAATAGCAAACGTTCGACTTCGATTCAGACGTCGAACTGCACATGTACCGACTACAATGCATAATATAAATTATAGTTTACCTCAAAGATTTTGCATCGAATTAGCAATTAAGTTCGACGCCCGTAGATTCGAGTTCCGAATAAGCTGTCGAACAAAATTATTTGAGAAGACTCAAATGGATATTACGCGCGGCATGTGTTAATTTAAGCTGACTTGCCGCAAAGGTGAGTTGGGGAGGTAAAAACATACGTCGCATTTCTGCAGTATCGAATTCAATCAATTATTTGCGGCGGAAATGTGATTACCAATTTCGATTTGATTCATACGTCGCACTTGTGAACAAAATTCAGCCGATCAGATTGCAGTGTCTGCATTTTTGCGCACGAATTCTACAAGAATTTCGTCCTTCTGTCGTTTTTACCGGTTTCCATGTCCAGGCAGGCGCTGCCTGTGGTAACGTTAGGACTCGTCGAGTAACCACTCGTCGTGCATGATAGAGAAGTAAGACGATCATACACCGCACGAAATTTAATTATTACTACCGTAAATATTATTACAGCTGCCACCGCTACGCCTGACGTATGCATGCATTTAAGAAAAGAAAAGAAAGAAGCCAACCAGTTATTCAGAGGTATAAAGGCAAATTTCTCTCGGTCATATTGAACCTTTAATTACACGATATGAGGCAGTGAAAAGGATATGAGATTCCCCGTCCCTAACGCTCAGGGATTACTCGGCAAATTCCTTGTGTGACATCAATACGACCTCGATGGGTCTTTCAGTACGGCTACATATATACACAAAAAACTCTCACATCATTCATTCTAATACTTGTATCATGCTGATTTTTTGAGTTAATATCCAGGAGTTAATCAACGAGGAAACTCAGCTTCATTAATTCATGAATAGACTTTCTCCAAGTCCTTGGCGGTCGAAGTAGTGGCTCTTCTTCCTGGCACGCTTCGCACGAGAAGTTTGATCGTCGTGGAGGTTTTTCTCGTTCCCAGTTCGACTCTTGCATTTCGACTTTTGGGCAACAAAGAACCCGTCCACACTACGCTGGAGAAATTTGAAACGGCGTTTTCAGTCTGAAAACACATCAAATGTTTTCCGTCCACACTACGCCGTAGAAATTTGAAAACACAGCAATCATTGCAGGTCATTCTTTGACACTCAAATAAGGTTTTACTTTACTTTACTTACTTGTGTTCGAGGAAAATTCAGTCAAGGAAAGACGCCATCGTTTTCGAAAAGCTCCGTGTTCAAAATGTATTCTGTCCACACTAAAACGCAAAGCCGACGTTTTCAAATTCGTCCCGGCGTTTTCGGTTTGAAAAGCTCTGTTTTCGTCTGGGTTTAGTGTGGACGGTAGGCCTTACCGCAGAAATAAAGCTACGTTTTCAAAATTCTCCGGCGAAGTGTGGACGGAGCCTAAAAACATATCACTTGGAGACTACAACTGCGTGTTTTAAAGATTAATGAAATGAATCACTAGTTTTGTTTTCCTTCAAGCCCGGTGAAACAAAAAGAAAAATGCCTTCATTGCTGCTTAATTGGAAAGGCGTGCCTGACCGGAGGATTGTCTTATTATAAAAGAATAGAACGCAACGTGAACAAAAGAATGATTTAATTCAATGAGCTTTTCGGCGAAGTGTCCCTTGACAATTTCAAGACTGAAGACCCCGACCCGAAACTCAAGTTTTACATTTTAATAAGGTATTATGTTGTTATTACTCTATTAATAGATAAACAGTATTACAACAACAAATTAACGAGGTCTAAGTAAATCATAATGTCCGTTTTATAGCCGAAAATGGAATTAGATGGCTGTGTAGGCTCGCGGCCTCCCTTCAATACAGCTATTGAACAACACTGATGTTAATACATTTTAATTACCTTTGCGGCAAGTCAAAAACAAAAGGGCTTTTTTTAAAACATAAAAGAAAAGACGCTTAAGGTTTTATGCACGACATCTTTAATCAAAGCCCTTTAGACTGAAACACCACACTTGCGCTTGCAACAAGATCAGCAATCTTTCTTGTGCAGAGCAAAAAATTCTCATGGAAATTTTCTAGAGTAAGCAAAGGCAAACTGTTTGAATTTTGTTTTGGAGAGTCCGAAGGGGGATATGATGCGACCATTGCTAAACCAACATTTAAACACAAAACGTTCTGAACGTGATCACAGGAAAACTACAGCAGTTGAGTTCACTGTTTTCCGGCTGATCAATGATAGGATTTTTATTGATAGTGGTAGAATAGCTGCTCTGTATGTGGGAAAAAATTACTAAGGGCTTTTCGTATATCACATCTATGATCACATCTATGATCACATTTTTTCAAAAGAAAGATTACCCATTGAAAAACATAGTCTTCGTTATTTTTGTGTGCCCGTTGGGACCCTGTATTGTCATTTAAAAAACATTGTTTTACACAGATTTAGCCGGTTCACTTTGTTCCCCATGTTTCCACTACAGGTATTTTCTGGCGGTATACTTTATATTTCGAACTCCAAACAGCCTTTTATGTTCTGTTGACTCAATCTTTTTTATGTGAATAAAAGTTTGCACTCCATAATTAAAGGCACGCGCTGAGGGTTTACACATATAGTTTAACAGGCTCACCTTTTAAAACTTGTAACAACATGAAATACCATGTTAAACTTTTTACGCAGAATGGAACGGTTTGTTTCTACTGAAAATGTCATATTTTTACGAGTGACTACTCAGTGCCAGGGAATTGCCGACTACTGAAAGCAAAAAATGTAATGCACCAGAAACTTATGAATGATCATTTTTGAAATTTAGAAAAGTCATATTTAGAGTTCTATCATTCGCTGGGTAGAATCATTTAAAGTTAGGAGAACTGGTCACGCATGGTTTGTCAAGTCATTTTGCAATTGTCATGGAGATCGCGCGCAGTTTTACAACACCACGGATAAATTTTCGCGGGAATTTTTCCAGTGCGTGGCGCGCGAGAAAGGTCAATTCGACTGCTAAATGATATGAACGTTTTTTCCTGTAGGGATAAAAGTATCTCAATCGCGCACTGGAAGTCCGCAGGGATTTCATCGCTTTTTCTTTGAAGTGAAAAGGTTAAAAGGATTTGACAGTTTGAAAGCGTAATATTTGCAACAAAGCCAATAATTTGTTCGCATTCGCGTGCGAGAATGAAGAGTCTGATTGCATCAAGACAACCGACGCTTGTGATTGGCTCAAAGGAAAATGCGTGCAAAATTGCGAACCCGTGCCATTGTAATTTAGCTGAAGAGTTTTTGCGCCAACATCATTTCCTGACTCAGCGTCATACAGAAAGGTCCTCCGTAATCTACAAACAAGAAATTTACACATCGTTTGACGGTCAACATGGCAGAAAGAATTTCGCTAACTAGAAGACGACAGGTACTTGCTTTTTATCAACTTTAAGCTGCTGCTTCCGTTTCTTTATTCTTTATTTTCCGTGTTCAACAGGCAAGTAAACCCTTGCTGGAAAGACAACGGAGAGCACGCATAAACCGAAGCCTCGAGGAACTGAAAGGACTCGTTTTGTCTGCCCTGTATCGTGATGTAAGTATACCCTGTTCAATTTGATCGAATTAAGGTGCTTGTTTGCAAAACTTATCATGCTAGGGCCGGGCGAACTTATTTACCATTTTATTTTCCATCGCTCGTTATGCGTATTTTTATTCAAGCGTTCATGATCATGGGTCACTGTGTTGCACGAAGTTTCACAAGCTCTCTTAAAAGCGTCGCTGGACGAACACACTTTCACACTGAGTATTATGACTAGCAAGTAAATGAAATTTTATTGCCAGTTTTGCAAACATTTGACTTTTTACTTTCGCAGAATGATCAAAATTTCCAAAAGATGGAAAAAGCTGAAATTCTGGAGCTGACCGTGAACTTCTTAAAAATGATTCGTGAGCAGCAAGTAACAGGTTAGTGAGTTAACAATGCCGAATTAACTTTCCATATGTGGCTGGAATGACCATGTCAATGTCTAAGGCCGTCCCTTCACTACGACACAAGCACAAACATAGCGATAGTGAGGACGCCATGATAACACAAGGATAGGCAATTTGAGATGCAAGAATGAAAATATGCCTTATTTTCGTTTCCATACCTCCTCGTACAGTAGAACAAGATGGCGGGCTTCTGTTTATGCTTACGCTTAGATCAGCAAGTTCTCATTGGACATAAGCACAAGAAGAACAAAAATATTTTGTACTGCTTGTGTTGTGGGCGTCTTCACTGCCATGTGCTTGTGCTTTGACTTATCACTCTTGGTGAAAATCAGTCTTAACATATGTTAACTATGAATTTTGAAACTTAATTTAATCCTTCTTTCCAGGTTACTGGACTAATCAAAGTGATCCTGAATCACTCAGTAACTATCGTGCGGGATTTAACGAGTGCGCAACCAAAATGTGCAGCTTCATGGAAAACCAGAAGAGCGGGGTGGATTCCAAACTGCGAGAACAAATGCTGGCGGGATTGGCGGCATCTTGTAGCTATAATATGCACACGACTACTCCGGGACACGTGAAGTCTGACAGCCCTGTCAGTTACTCCCCTAGCCCAGCAGTATACGGTTTACAAGGCACTGGAGAATCACATTTCTTCTGTGCTTCAACGCCACCGCCATCGCCACCCTCGAGCGCATTTAGCCCGTTTATCCCTCACGAAGGTACCATGTTGAAAAAGGCGGGAAACGCTTCCTGCAGCCATCATGCATCAGTGGAATTTCAGACAAAATCTGCAGCAAGACACGCAAGCCCCGTGGAATGCAGCAGTCCTCCACTTTGGAGACCATGGATCTCAAACACACAAGACGGGCAAATCTAACTTGCTCAGCTTAGGGATTTCCAGTTCCACTCGAATTTCACTCGAATAACGGGATCTTGTCCCATACACTCCAGTCGGAGAGGAAAGGGGCAAAAGATCTGCTGCGTGTTAACTTGAAACTGCAGTACAGAGTTAACTGGTCTTTTAAAATGTCAGTTGTAGGAAGGTTTCCTGCAAAATATGCTTGTATACAATTTAGGATTTTTATAAACATTTACAACTAAAAGATTGATACTTTGATTTGAGAGTCATTGATGAATTATTCCCATATATGGGTAGGTTGCTGATTTGAATTTTTGTCTGGTGAAAATTTTAAAAGAGGATCTTTCAATCGGGCGGTCTTTGCTGACGTCATTGTTTTTGTTTTTCTCATTAGCTGTTGCTCATTATGCTAGATAAGAATCGAATTTAAACTTTTAAAGCGCGGTGAAACTTAGTAGTCGGTCAACTTTCTCGATTCTTCGGGTCTAGTTTTGACGGGGAAATCAGCTTTAAAAATCGCAACATTCCTGGGTGGCTGAGCTGATTTCTCCTTAATATATAATTGTGGGTTTTAAAACTCATTTCGAGCAAGAAAGTGTTTGTCACATCGGCTTCACATTTTTATTGTGGCCCGAGACGGTAGTCGTCATACCAAAAAGGCAACCATTGTAAACTGAGTTTGCCCGATCCCTTGCTGATATCTGACTAATAGGAACCTCTCAGTGGGCACATGTTCCCTAATTGATTATAACATTTGAATTTTTCTTCTTTTTCTTTCCGCAAGATTTTCTCGCCGATGGCGAAGAGATCTTGGCACGTGATGCTCTAAAATCCAAAACTAAAGAGACACCGAAGTTTTTATCCTCATCAGGCATAAGGGGTGCTACATTTATTTCCGCTCAGTAGCTTGCTTCGTCTGGAAACCAACGCATTTTGAATTTCAGAGTGTGTAACATGGAGCTACGAACGCGTTTGTCAAAAAATATTTACTTATCTCGTGATTTTTAGCATTAGATCTAATATCCTGCGTTAATTAAGTATCCAAATAAGCAACAGAATTTCAATGAATTTTGATATTACCTTTTCTTCTCCGGACTCAGGCTAGGGCTGTCCATCACCGACATTAAGAAAACAGAAAACATAAAGATAACCTAATAAAGACGTATTCGCGACTATTCGCTATTCGCTTTTTCCAGACACCCGTTGCCTAGATAGCCCTTGTAACTTCCAGATGTTTACGCTATTTTCTGGCCGCTGTGTGGGTGTACCCTGCTCCATACTGGGCTCGGTAAATTTGTGCAAAATATTTCGACGAATATCTGAGGTTTGGGAAAACGCACAGTTTTAAAACTTGGAAGAGTGTCTTCTTTATCAATCTCCTATAACATCACAATTTCGTGACGTTATCCACTGAATGGTTTTCGAATATTTTATTTATTCTCGTCTCCATAGCCCTTTTCGTAGCCTAATTCTTACACGTCCGAGGTCGTTCGCGGCCCCTTCGCTTCTCCTCTCTCCCTCCGAGGTCGTTCGCGGTCCCTTCGCTTCCTGTGAGGGAGAGAGGGGAAGCGAGGGGACCGCGAACGACTTCGGACGTCTGAGAACCAGGCTACCTTTTCGCATACTGTTGTACCGTTGCAGTTATGTCCTATGTAGCAGACATGTCCTCTGACGTAATGTGATATACGGAGCCAATCATATCATGCGTTCTATCTAATAACACGCAGCATAAGACTGGTAACTAAACTCCGTTGCAGTTCGGTCTTCGAGCAAAATTGATTTTTGGAGGGGGGTAGCGTTCGGAAGCAGTATTTGACTTTGTATGTCTTTACTCTGAACCAGAGTGACTCTGAACGT